TTATAGATGTTCTGAACGCGAAAAATCGGAATACAACAATTTTAAAATAAAATATAAAGAAATCTGGTATGTAAAAAAACCGTTTTACTTTGCAGGATGTAGTGAACAAATTGATGTTACAAGCGCGTGGCAACAGATTGAAACAAACAGCGCTCACCGGTTTGGATTTGAAGTTGAATCCACTGGCGATTTCCTGCTAAGACTTTCCTCCAGTGACCAAGATACGAATACAAAATTCTACTATGAGGTTACTATCGTCGAAAAACGAAATCAACTTTCAAAAATTAGAAAATGCAAGTATGACGGATGTGACGTCGAGGGAGCAATCGCGAAGACTAACTACTTAAACATGGAGAGTGCTCAGAGATTCTGGGTGATTTTTAGCCCCAATGGTCTTATTGAAGTAGGTCTGGAGGGATATGCTCCATTCTTAACCTGGATGGATATTGATTATGTGCCCGTCTCAACGCTTGAGGTTTCTACAGGCGGAAGTGCAACGGCTAGGTTCAGCTATTGTCAGCTTGAATTTCGAGATTACAAGATTTCAGGTAAACTCCTCTACGGAAAGCCAAATCCACCAAAAATACATTAGCATACTCATACAATATCAATAATAGGCCTGATAGTAATTGTTATTGTCGTAATGGAATAGACAATAACTGGATTTGCGTCAGGAGAAACATGCATAGGTGTAATTTTGCCGTGTCTGACGTGGAAATGTACTGAATACTCAGTACGTTTGAAAACAATTGCGAAAAAAATCGCAAGTTGTTCTCGGGTGGGACTCGAACCCACGATCTCCAGATCACTAGCCTGGCAGTATTCAGTACCGGTACATTTCCACTCATGTAGGGCAAAATTACACCTATAATAATAGGCCTAATAGTAACATTGAAAAAAAAGCGCTTATAAGGTTTACTGAATTTAAAATAGATAAGATCTATATTTTGTTTTGATTGAATTTTGAAATTACTTATTACAATTCCATAGAGTTCACGGCGTACGTTTCCCTAACAACAAATACTGATGACTATGTTTACATAGACAACAAACTGGTATCCGAGAGACTAGAGTTCTACATCAAAGCATCCAGTGACGTCGTACTAGTACTCTCCCCTAAAAAAGACGATGTTGAAGTGTACAGGATCATCATAGCCTATGGAGCAAACGGCGAATCTACACTGAGCCATTGTCACAGTAAATATGATTGTGTGATCAAGGAATCTACAACTACTCATGATATTTTGTCTGCCACAACACCACGTGGTTTTTGGATCATTTTTGATAGGTCTGGGAGAGTAGAAGTCGGCGAGGAAGACAAAAGCCCATTTCTGACCTGGCAAGATCCTTATCCGTTGGCAGTCAACTATCTTGCTTACGCCACTACGGAAGGAGGTTATGCTGCCATTGACTTCTCGGTTAATGAACAACCCAGAGCCAGTTACCAGATAGGTGGTGAGTTACTTAATAATGTGCTTTTATGTTTTAGCATTATCAGCATCATCACCATCATTATCATCATCGTTATCCATTTGTTCGATTTTTGTTTTTTAGAATTTTTGGCTCCATTCGACGTGATAACCCGTAGAAACGATTTTGTGTATCTTGATTACTCTTTCGGAAGTGACAGGCGCCTGGAGTTTTACGTCACGGCGGATAGTGACGTCTATTTATCTCTTTCACCATTTAAAAATGATACTGAATTCTACCAAATTATCATCGCAACGGGAGCCAAAGGGGTCTCGACGTTAAGTCACTGCTTTGATAAAGACGACTGCCACGTGAAGGCGTCAACGATTACAAAGAACTTTTTGCCCGGAAACAGCAGAGGATTCTGGGTAACATTTGATCCGTCTGGACAAGTCGATGTTGGTCGTGATGGTTATAGTCCATTCTTGTCATGGGAAGACCCATACCCTCTTCCCGTTAACTACCTCGGATACGCTACTGTTCCTGGAGGAAAGGTTGAGATCCAGTTTGATCTCAAGGAAGAAAAGTCTACAAAATATATAATCAAAGGTGATTTGTCTATGATTGTAAAATTTGATAGTAACAATATGATTATGAATATGATACTAAATTATAATAACGATATTTTGCCCTCTGTATGATGCTCACTTCCTTCTATCCACTGCTTTTCTTCCTAAAGCTGTGCCTATATATAAGATGATATGTCTTATTTCCACCTTTAGGCTAGATATTATATCTTAATTTAATTTCACTTGGTTCTAGATCTGATGCGTCAAGTCGACCACTTAATGGTCTACCATTGTAATTTAAGACCTGCAACATCAGCCATGAGCAGGTTCGCCGTCACAATAATGTGTATGATGGTGTATTTTAAGTAACCACGTTACTCTGATTAACTTTTTATATTAGAATTTAGAAACCCGTTGTCATTCATCTCTACCTCTGACAACTATGAATATTTGGATTACAAGCTAAAAAGTCGAACTGTTGAATTCTTCGTCAAGGCGACAAATGACATCAGCATTGCTCTCGGACCAAATCGGGACGATGTCGAATTTTACCGAATTACCGTTGCTTATGGATTGGCTGCAAACTCGACTCTTAGTCACTGCTTTGACAAGGACACATGCCACATAAAAGCCTGGGCGATCACAGACGACTTTTTAACAGATACAGAGTACCAGGGATTTTGGATTAAATTCAACCCATCTGGAAAAGTCGATGTTGGTCGAGATGGCTACACCGCATTCATGTCTTGGGAAGACCCTTACCCACTGCCAACTAATTTCATCGGTTATGCAAGCGTTGAAGGCAGTCGACTGGAGATTCAATTTGAAAAGAGAGATTTCATTGCATCAGGTACGATATTTTGTATTTTTGATCGAAGTTGTCATTGGCCATTGTTGGCCCGTAAGCCTACTAATATATAAATTGTTGTTAAAAGGTTTTCTCCACATTCGGATTCAAACTCGAGATAAAAAAAAAGTGAAAATTCTTCTCCAATTATATCATTATTAATATGCAATATATACATAGCATAAATGCGTTTTTTTTTTCAAACATTGTAGATTGTATTGGTGTTACGAAGATTGCAACAATCCGTAACTTACTGTATCTGGACACAACCATCAACTCAAATAGTATTCGATTCTTCGCAACTGGACGTGGTGACGTCATGATCTCCATTGGCCCATACAACAATGATACAGAGTTCTACCTGATCATCATAGCCCATGGAGCCTACAGTACCTCCACCCTCAGCCACTGCTTCACCGCCGATGATTGCCACATCAAAGCGTCGGTAACCTCTAACAACGTGTTTGAAGCTGATAAAAGAACTGGGTTCCTTATTGAATTTAACCCGGATGGTAAGGTAGACGTGTTCCGGGCTGGACATTCGGAACCGTTCTTATACTGGGAGGATCCGTACCCACTGCCTATAAATTATATAGGTTATGCGGTACAAAATGGGGTAGCCATGACCTATGAATTTTGTCTGAATGATTCAGAATATTAAAAATGTGCATTAACGCCTCTGTTCACAGACAGGACCATTTTGAACTGCTAATCGAATATTTACGAAAGTTTAATGTTTGCAGGAAAAAATTGATTGCCATACTGTTCAATATGTAACTAAAATCATTTTTTTAATCATAAAGTTTACAGTTTGAAGCAAAATATATTATTTCTTTATTCTTATAAAATTTCAAAATGCCGCCATTTTCTCGAAATACAACTATTGTAATTCTACAAAAGAGTAAACCTTTTTAATCGACGTGGGCTGTGGATACCGATAACGTACATATAGCTGCATATTTCATACTAATCTAATATGTTTAACTATGTATTAATTCCATTGTTTGACTTATAGCGATAGTGATGAATAAACAAGTCTGATAAGCACATCAATTTTTAATGTTCTTGTTTTTAATTACTCTTATGTTCTTTGACTTCGAGATTTCAAAAGAAGAGCATTTCGTGTTCAGTACATTTGGTGTGGTTATACAAATTTAACAATTACAGTACACTATATAAATAAATAACAAATATATACTTCTACCACTAATAACAACAATTTATATAATATTAATAATTACAGTAACATTTAATAATAGATTAGGCATATTTACTGTAACAAAGGATAGATTGCAAAATAATTAAAAACTGGAATTTTGGAAGGTGAACGTCTCCAATAACAATATTCAGCTATAGTTTACGTGC